CGAAGGGAAGCCATGCCCGAAATTCGTGCCTCGTCTAAACATGTCTTGCACAACAATGCGGAATACAAGCGATGCTTGAGTGATGTGCCTACGCACATCAACACTTATGAGCTTGTGAATGGTGCATGACCACAGCAGCCCCAAAGTCCTATGTAAGCCCTTGCGCTTAGACTTAGACCTTTTTTAGTCAGGAAGACGGAAGACTCTAGAAAGCAGACGAGCGCGTCGTTCTTCATTACCGCTCATGGTCGAGCTTAGGGTTTAGGGTTACAGAGGTCCGAAGATTCATCAGGGACAACCTGTTGCGATACGCCACAGCCAAATTCATGCATGTCAACTCCGTGGGAAGTCGGTGGAAGACCCTAAGCTAAGAGTGAAAATTCGTCAAGATGCCCTGCGATGCTTACACCAGCACGACCCTTAGGGTGGGTCTAGAGTGTGCGGGTTTGTTCCGGCTGTACACAGTAACCTGAAGTCTCACTACAGACAAGGAATATGTTGCATCGCTTGGGCTTCAACCCTACTTATACGCAAACTCCAAAGCCTAAGTTCTCGACCTGTTAAGATACTAAACTAGAACCGTAACCTAAAACTCAACCGTGAGTCGTAAGAACCTCTAGAATCCGATACCCTGAAGCCCTACCCTACAGGCTGTAGGGTCTAGACTTTATGGGAACTGCAAGAAGCCTTCGTGCCTTATCCACAAACATGGGTTTTTGCTTTCGCCAGACCATTGAATCCTGAGTATCCGCACCTGACCCTTGAGCCCTGACTCAGAGGCCGCGGCCGTGCTACCCTAAACCCTAAACCCTAAACCCCTACACCCCTACACCCTAAACCACCTACCCGAAACCCTAGACCCTAAACCCGTAAACCCTAAACCCTAAACCTCCTTCCCAGAACCCTAACGTCACCATCCTCTTGAGAAGGTCTTGCCGAGTCGCGTAGAGCTTCTCGAGTCTCCTTAGCCTGATGGAATACAGGGGGCCTTACTAGGCAGCAAAGGGTTGTGGGTTTATTATATACCCTAAACCCTAAACCCTAAACCCCTAAACCGTAAACACATACTATATAGTCTAGTCACATTCAGGAACCCTCAAGAATACTACTGGTAATTCTTCCGACCGCCATTATCGCGGCCTTAGCAATTCAAAGAGGCCCCAAACCCCTAATCCCTAAACACCTAAACCTTATAAACCCTAAACCCAAAACCCCCAAAACCCTGAACCCCTAAACCCTAAACCCCTATACCTTAAACCCTGAACCCTAAATTCCCAAACCCTAAACCCCTAAACCTTAAAGCCCTAAACCCAAAATTCCTTATAAACCTTAAACCCTAAACCCCTAAGCCCTGAATCCCTAGACCTCAAACCCCTAAACCTTAAACCCTAAACCCTAAATTCCCAAACCCTAAACCCCTAAACCTTAAAGCCCTAAACCAGGTTCGAGGGTGTTAGGGTTGATGATATCTAAATCCTGCATTACCTTAGGGACCCTAAACTATTATTGGAATTATGGGATATTCCTTATCTAGACCCAAGAGTAACTTAGTAATAAAAAGGGTGCCCTTTTTGGTTTAAAGGACTTTATAAGGGAACCTGAACCCTAAAAAAGGGAATAAGGGCCTACTCTGGGTCCTAGTTATTATGGGTCATGCAGGGTTTATATCATCAACCGTAGGGTTGAGGGCGCCGGGGGATCCAAGGCAGGGGCCTCAGACAAGCTTTAGGGACTGGGAGTAGGGTTTCGGGATCTGTTGAAGGTTTTTATGGGGTTTAAGGTTTAGGGGGATTTGTTGAGTTTTTTTTATAGGGTTTAGGGGGATCTATTGGGGGTTTTTGTGGGTTTAGGGTTTAGGGGGATTCGTTGGGGTCTTTATAGGGTTTAGGGTTTAGGGGGATTTGTTGAGGTTTTTATAGGGTTTAGGGTTTAGGGGGATTTGTTAGGGTTTTAGGGTTTCGGCATATCTGTTTCAAGGTGGGGTTCAGAGACCATAGTAGGCGTCGTTGGCGGCATGCAAGGGAATACTTCCAGGTATATTTTGCTTCTGGTGTACCGGAAAGTAAACCGGATTCGTAGCAATGTCGGGACTTAATTATGAGTGCATTTCTGGTGCTTATGGCGGGGCAGTGTCATCCGGTTGAAGGTCTCCCTCACCGGTTTTCCCAGTGAGTATTCCAAAACAAATGCAGTTGCCACGAAGGCAGACGAAGGTCCCATGCGAGCTTGCGACGCACGCCGGTAGTTTACGAAGCTTTCAAAGTTGTCTGTGAAGAGGCATGCGGCAGTTCAAGACAGATCAACAAAAAGGGGCATTCCATGCATGCCCATATGCCAGGCGCTATGGCGGTTGGAGGTCAACTTGCGAAAAGTGCAACCTGTGCAGGCAGTGACGTTGTGGACAGCTGTCTGCAATGCTTCTGGAAGGCTGGCAGCTGTGCTTTAGAAGCTGCAGCAGTCATTCTGACTGGCAAGACCTTCAGCACAGCTTGAGGCTTATCAAGAACAAGTTCCGCTGGGAGGGGTTCATGCAGGGGCCTAAATAATTACCAATACTATTTTGTGGGGTTCCTTATTATCATTCTAGTACAATGGGCACCAAAACCCTACTCTAAATACTAAGGCCCCTAGATTACCACTGCTGCCGGAAGTCTGCCGGGCCTTTCTCCAGATGCATCGGAAATCGGCACACTAAACACCCTTTTTCTCCAATAATGTAAGGGCCTTAGTAATCAGAAAAGGGTTTCGGGGTGGATTATACTATAATTACAACAAGAAACACCCAAAATAGTATAGGTAATTGTAATTATTAGGGCCCCTATATTACCCCAACTTGCCAAATTGTTCAAAACTCTAAACCATGTACCCTAAACTGCCCCACATGAGAAGGCTGCTCGGCCTGTCCAAGAGAAATCATGCCGATTTCTTCGGTAGTATCGCACACCCACCCACTGCTGGCCAGAGTAACCTAAAAAACTATGGCATCCTAAACAAAACATGGAAAAACCCTCATACGTAAATCGTAATGATTATATCCGAAGCTACAGAGAGCAACCTCCCAGCACACGTCCTACACCCTGACCCGACATTGAAATCATGCAAAGCCCAAAACGCAACTCTCTGCCTTGGGGCCTTCGGCTTCGGGTTAGGAATCAAGGGTTGGTGTTCGGTGTAGGGTTTCTAGGATTCGAGACTGGCCATAGGTTACGGTTACAGACGGGTTTAGAGTTTAGGGTTCAGGGCTCGGACAATCTGATGGTGCCTCTCGACGGCGAAGTTGGACAAAGACGCCAAGCCAACGCCAACCGCTAGTCCCGCAAGAGAGCACCTCATCGAAGCAACACGTCTCGGATTCCAAGGTACTTGGCACATAAAGTTCCACTACAAACGAGTCTAGGCTCCCTCATATACGATACAGGAAAAAGCTTTGACAGACAGTGGACTTCCCTAAAGCCTAAACCTTAAACCCTAAACTTGCCAGTTTGGGGTGGGAGGCAGTCGATCGCATTCGGGTTAAGGGTTCAGGGGTTTCGAGTTTAGAGTTTAGGGTTTGGGGGTTTCGGGTTTAGGGGCTTCGGGTTTAGGGGTTTCGGGTTTAGAGTTTAGGGTTTGCAACTATTGGGGACTGAGGGCCTGAACATTGGGAAGTTTAGCGGTCGAGGGTTTAGCGCGCCCTGAGGCCCAAACACCCTGAACCCAAAGTACGACCGTAGAATCCCTGAACCTTCTCATCTACATAGCTCGATGTACACACATTGAGCTTGGTATTTGCAGGTGTCATGTATCTACACCTGTACATATGTATATACACACACACATGCATGCATGCATGCATGCATGCATGCATGCATGGAAGCACACATACCACACGTACAGTCACATACATGAATAATCATGAAAACATGAGTGTACATAAGGATGCACCACGGTCACCACCATCGCCGCCGCCACACCACCAACATCACCAAACCACAACACTCATGTTCCTGCAATTGCTCCTGCTGCTGCTGCTGCTGCTGCTGCTGTTGCTGCTCCTCCTGCTCCTTCTACCCTGACTCCGACTCCCACTGTGTCTCCGAATGCTGCTGCTACTACTACAACCACAACTACAACTACAACTACGACTACGACTACAACAACAGCTGCTACTACTACTACTACTACTACTCCTGCTCCAAATACTTGCATCCACGTCCGCCCCCTTCTCCGAAGCTCAAAGCAAGGATCACATCAATGAACGAAGTGCTGACAACAAAAACATGCACTTAACTTTCCGTGTGAGGACTCATGCTATGTCTGCCTTTGGCGGCTTCGAACATCTTCGAGCCCCTGAGGTGACAAATCTGAGTGCAGCACACAGCTCGATCTCCCGACATGGCATGGCAACCTGCACTGCAGGAAGACAATTGCCGAACGGCCGCCGCTAGCTCAAGAGTGGTGTTGGGTTTCACCGCCATGCAAACTAGGCGCACTTTGGCGACGAGGAATACCCGTATAAATATAAATATAAAAGAATATATGCATATATATATGTATATATATATATATGTTTTTTCATATTATATATATGTATATATACATATATATATATATATATAGATAGGTTCCTTGCAGGCACTCTGAACTGCCGGGATGGCTCGGCGACGCGCAACTTTCCCTGGGTTGCTGTTCTTGGCCACAACTGGGCAACTTGGCTATTGGCATCCTGATCATGGGTAGGTCCTGTACTCCTGCTGCGCTGGCTTACGGTTTAGGGTTTAGGATTTAGGGTATTACGAGTGAGCTATGTGGAGCTTGCACACAGGCGAATCCGATGTCTTCTTTCGCCCTGGCGAGCCGGAATCGTGTCAGGCCTGCGTGGCAGTTCATGCTTCTCTGGGGCTCCTGTTACGGCCGATCGTTTCCAAGCTCTTGTTGAGCTCTCGCAGCACACCAACCAACAAGGGCTTGCTGCTTGTCGAATTCTTGGCTGGTAGACACTTTCCGGCCAAATAAAACCACTAAAATCCACAGTGCCTGCATCTCCAGTACCACCACGGCTTTGCAGCACACCACTTTGGGCAGCGTGCACGTCGGAAGTGCCGAGAATACCGTGAGTAGTACGAGTACCCGTAAGGAGGCACCGTCGTCGTTGTTCCGGTTGTATTGCAACCAAGGATCATGCCGGTGGCGGTGATGTTAACATCGCGGAATGGGATTGGAGCCTGAAAGCCAGTGGATACAGCGGCTGTCTCGGAGATGCTCACCGCAGAGTCGGGCCTGGCGTTGTTGACGACCAATGTCTGTGTTGGACCCCAAAGGTTATCAAGGCCTTTCTCGAAGAAGTTCAGGATTCGTCGATTATCGCTGGTGACCTCGGAGATCAAGAAGGCCCACTCTGGGGCGAGCGGCACCCCGGCAAGAATAAAACTTAGTGAGACTTTAAGGTTACATTTCGGGAAAGTTGCAGTCTTTTCAGAATGAGCCCATGCATTCTTTGAGCCCGAAAAAGCCTGCTCAACACTGGAAAGAGCTTCAACAGCTGCTACTGCCTTGCCAGTGCTGGTGATATCTGCATCCTGGATGTCGTTGCTGGATACGTTCGGATCGCCAAGCACTTGGCTATAGACCTGTCGCAAAACCAATTTCTGTGTACTTCAAGCAGGATTCTGACAATCAGTTTTTCGATGTTCACGTGACTCCGATTACTAATAAGATTTTCTCATGTCGCACCGCGATGTTTTGCTGGTATGAGTACCAAGGCCAAGAAGACGACCCCTGTGGTAATTCTGCTGCAGTTTCGTGCTGTCATGTCTCACGGGCCAGGTCTTTGGGGTAGTCTTCGAGGCTTGGCGTATGCCTGCAAAGCATCATCCACAACCTCTGTTGCTTGGTAGCTGTAACAAACATCAGCATACCCGTCACTCCGTGCATGTATCAGGTTGCAACTGAATTCGTCCATTTAGCTACTCATCGGTATCCGCCTGTTGGCGTCAATGTGTGCCTTCTCAGCATGCTTACGAGTTTCAGTGTGGTGCGCATATGTTCACAGCAGACAGACGGGAGCATCTCGAGTAAAGGCACAAAGCGCTCTTCAGCATGGGAATTCCATTCCTGGGAGAAACAAAGCTTTCGGACCCCCTAAACCCTAAAACATATAAAAACCCTAAACCCGAAAGCCCTAAGCCCTAAACCCCTAAACTCTAAGCCCTCAAACACGAAAAACCCTGAACCCGTCGCGACTTCTTTGTGCTTCTCCGACCTCCTCCCATGTGCCGGCGTTGTACTCGTGAACATATGCCAGCTTGGTGGGCAGTCCATCAGTCGTAGTCATGACCTCCAAAGCATGTTTTCGGACTCCAAACCTCTCCACTTCATGCAAGAGTCTGTAGGCTCTTAGACTTGATCAGGGTTTAGGGCTTCAGGGGTGCAGGTTGCAGGGTTTCGAGCAATCGTGAGGGACGCCAGCACAATACTACTGGCTGCGATTTTATTCGACTACCTCTGAACATGCAAAATCGTACGGCTAAGAGCTAGGATTTCTGCTAGCCATCACCGTCAGAATGTAATTGCCCTCCACGGCGACGTTTCCGATGATCGCGGCATTTTGCGGAGTGAAATTGGCTGACGGCCCATTCCACGTGCTGCCCGTCCAGTCGTACCTGCCAGACTGCATAAACCCTTTGTGAATGAAACTTCGCAATTGATGGGAGGCTGCAGGGTGCAACTGCATAAACAAGATACATACGCAACTACCTACATACAGAATAATATATATATATATGTATATATATATATATAATATGGAGTCAGGCGCTCCGCGGGTCCCCCCCCCTGCCCCCCCCATGGTCCATGGTCCAGGATGCCCCCCCCCCCCTGTGGGTGGGGTGTGGGGTCCCTCTTCCCCCTGTGGTGTGGTTGTGGGGTTTTGGGGTTTAGGGTTTAGCTCAAGCTTTTGAGTTTGGGGTTTAGGGCTTAAGGTTAAGAGTTTTAAGGCTCAGAGTCGATGCAAGAGCTTAGGGAGGGTTTGGGGTGTAGGTTGGTTAGGGTGACGGTTAGGAACACGCCCCACGTTATAGGGTTTATGGCTAGCGTAGGGTTTGCGTAAGATCCCGTCCCTCTCCGTGACCCATGGCCGCCCACAGCAGCACCCCACCCAACCGGCCAGATCACTCTCCGCACACGCCAGCCCCCCCCTCCC